ACCTCCAGGCTTCATAACCCCTATTCTTACTGTATGTCAACGCTCTCTCTCGCTAGATAAACTATCCTCCATCGCACTCCTCTTGGTCTCTTCCTCCCTTTCACTTTCTTTGTTATGAGCATCCCTCGCTCCACAGACTTAGAATATAATATATTTTCATGACTATTACAGATTTTCCAACTGCTTACACACATTTTCAAAACTATGTCTCCTTTTTTCAAAACTCTACATACAATTCCCAAAACTGCACACACAAAATGCCTCACATCTCCTTCAAAATGTAACACTGCATTCAAAATGCCATAAACACATGTCAGAATGAAGCACTGTTGTTCTAAATCTAAAGGTCTTTCATAGGCTTATATCTACATTTCAATACAATGTTCTACAGTGAAAGTAATCTGCTGAGAGGGGTAACAAGTACACTGTAAACACCAATGCAATGTAGAAACAGAAAATATTTATTAGGGCAAACATTACTGTTGTATACAGTAGCATACAACAAAACCATAAACATATGTAAACCAAAAGTATATTCTTTAGAATACAGTAAAGAACAAAATTGTGTGTGTGTGGGGTCCCGGGGGGCAGTCCAGGAATTTGTAGGGGGGTGGGCAGTCACCAGTGCTAAGCTACGCTTCATCTCTTCTCCGGGCTGGGTCTGGCCACAATACTTCGTCCACATCACAAGATACGTTTTCTCTTGCCAAACATCGAGGGAAGTATCGCCTAGCATGGCGTATCCAACCTTGGACAGAGGCAACCTCTATGTCCCCACATGCGTCCTCCATTGCCTGGAGAAGCGGCATGCGGGCATAGGGTTGGCCATCATACACTTTCCAGCGCCAGGCTGAGAAGAATTCCTCTATGGGATTTAGAAAAGGTGAATATGGGGGTAGGTACAAACCTACAAATTGTGGATGGGTGGCAAACCAGTTTTGGACCAGAACAGCCCGGTGAAAACGAACATTGTCCCATATAACCACAAATCTAGCAGGCTCCTGATCTGGATCAGGGACAAGCATTGTGTAAATTGCATCCAGAAAAGTGAGCATATGGCCGGTGTTGTACGGACCCAGTGTGGCATTGTGATGGAGGACCCCGTTTTGAGTGATGGCAGCACACATGTCCAGGGACATTGGTAATTGCCCTCTGTCCTAATACATTTCTTCCGCGGCGCCTGGTTTTGGTGAGGTTGAAGCCAACCTCATCCACATAAATAAATTAATGGCGAATTACATGGGCATCCATCTCCAATACTCTGTAACAGACAAAAGGATATACAGATGAGTAAATATTGTATGTCTGAAGTACTGGAAGTAGTGTTGCATACATACCTCTACAAAGTCATGTCGCAGATTCTTGACTCTGACAGAGTTTCTCTCAAATGGCACCTTGTAAAGTTGTTTCATCGTCACTTGGTGCCGTTGGAGGATGCGTTGTATGGTCGATAGGCTTACAGCATTGATGTTGTTAAATATGGTGTCATTATTCAAGATATGCTCTCTTATCTCTCAAATCCTAATTGCATTGTTGGCCAAAACCATATTTATAATTGCAGTCTCTTGTACATCTGTAAACAAGCGTCCACGTCCTCCATGATGTCTTTGCCTTTCCACTCTGTACAGAATTCAAACACAGTATGTGTTCAGCATAGGAACCGTAAACAATGTACAAAAACAGGTAGTACAGCATGATAACCAACCTCATTCATTCAATGCAGTGCAGTAAATGGATGGCTTAGAGTTACAAATGTTTATGCAATACTATGCAGTCATACGTATTTTACAGTACATTACTGTAATGCTAAAATTGTCATTAGACAGTTGCATACCTGTTCTCATTTCTGAAGGTTCGAATTATGGACGCCACTGTAAATCGACTCAAGTTGGGCTGGATTCTCAGTCCAGCCTCTCTCATGGTCAAACCGTGGTTGATCACATGATCAACAAGTGTTGCCCTAATCTCATCAGAGATGGCTCTCCTTCCTTCTCTTCTTTGGCCTCGTCCTCGTCCTCTTCCTACTCCTCCAACTCTTCATCTTTGAATTTGTCCTTGTTGTTGTCCCCTGCCTCTCCCTCCTACTCCTCTTGCTCTCTGTCAATTGTTGGCATCCATTGTTCAAAACAGGTAATCTGACCTTTGACCTATTTATAGGCCTATACTACAGTAAAGCAGTGATTGGTTAGTGATCAGTTAAGCAATTAGTGTTTGCACATGTGAGGAGTGTGTGTGTGACCTGGTGAATAAGTGTAGCATTTTGATTGGTTGTGTTTGGAAAAGGAAAGCAAGTCACTTCCTGTTAAATTTTTGTGTTTTAGGTAGAGAATTGTGTGTAGTGTTTTGAAAAAAGTGTTTTATGCAATTGACAACTGAGTCAAAGGCTGAGAAATAGCTTATGGTTTTGGAGATTTGGTGTGTAGTTTTGCACTTCGAGTGAGAGGTTTCAAAAATCGTGTGACATGAAAAGATTTAGTGTGTAAGCAGTTGGAAAAAACTGTAGATATAAGCCTATGAAAGACCAAAGAGCTTTAGATTTAGAACAACAGTGTTTACATGGTATATCCAAAAATGTACTATTATGAAAGAAATGTTTGCCATTTGATGCAAATGCTTCATTCTGACATGTTTATGGAATTTTGAATGCAGTGTTACATTTTGAAGGAGATGTGAGGCATTTTGCATTTTGTGTGTGCAGTTTTGGGAATTGTGTGTAGAGTTTTGAAAAAAGGAGACATAGTTTTGAAAACGTGTAAGCAGTTGGAAAAAACTGTAAGAAAGTCAATGACTAAACTCTAGAGAAAGAAGCAACAATCACAGACAGTTATCAAACACAAAAGGGACACGTTTGTCTTTGTGGACTTTACAAAGACCTAAATAAATAGCCTCTTGTCTTCTCCAAGTACTCAATCTGCTTGGTAGGTGACATCAGAGATATCCTAGTGCCCGGTGATTGGCAGGAGTTTATAGCCAATCATTAATCATAATTGCCATCTCATCGCCATGGCATCTGCCGTTCTGCCATTTGATTGGTCTTCCACTCCCAAACCACAGGACAGGAAGGGTGTTACTGTGAACGATGTGTGTGTGTGAAACAAGGGAACAAACACGATGTTCTGCTGTCTTGTCTATTGCCATCTGACTAGTTAATTACATTGACTCATCCACCACAGGTCCTCATCATCAGTCCTCCCTGGCAGGCTACAGCTCTCTGTCAGTCTGCCATCATTTTCAGATGGGTCCAAAACAACTACATCACCATCACCCCTAAAAGCAGCGGTTTACGAGCACAACCTAACATAGATTGCCTCCCAAATGGCGCCCTATTCCCTACAGTGCACTACTTTTGATCAGGGCTCTATGGCCCCTGTTCAAATGTAGTGCACTATAGTGAATAGTGTCTTATTTGGGACACTGACCTAATACATCAACCCAACATGATAAACATGTTATGTATCCACCTAATATGAGGTATAGCACTTAGACTCATATATCACCAATCAAGGGAGTCAGCGACCAGCTTACTGGAAATGTTATGAATGAAATTCAAATTGAAGGTCATCCAATTCCCATTGGAGAATATGTACTAGGAAAAAACATTCAGATGGATACAATTATTGCTGTACTCTTCCACTTCCCTGTCCTCCCTTTCTGTTTTTGGACAACTCTCAGTAATTGACCATAAATCCGGCTTTATATCTCCTGCCTCTTGCTGTATATCTCCTGCCTCTTGCTGTATATCTCCTGCCTCTTGCTGTATATCTCCTGCCTCTTGCTGTATATCTCCTGCCTCTTGCTGTATATTTTCTGCCTCTGCCTCCGGTTCTGTCTGCACTTCCTAGATTGTTAATGCATCATTGTATGGTCAACATTTATGTTTTGACTGCCTCAGTAAGTGTTCTATTTGAGAGACATTTAAATAAATGTATACATTGTAATTGCCACAATATGGCACTAATGCATACACTGCAGTCTCTTGTTATTCATTAATTATGCTTTCAAGTCTCTACAGGCAGGCGTTTAGTGGTGCAGACAGTGTAGTTGCAATAGCTATCCCTATCTATATTACCTTGTGAAATGCATTACTGGTGTTACTTGGATTCAAGATGTCCAAGATGTTCTATAATATAGAATCTATATAATCTTTGATGAAAGAACAACTTACTCTATGGTCTCAACAACACTGGGTACAAATACAAATCCAGCCATACTATTTCACATATAAAGACTACTTTGAAAGAGAAAATGTAACTGTACATCCATAAGAGAATTGTATAGGAGATGTTTTCGCCTGTGACAGTCTGACACCGAGGGTTTATATATGGGAGCTGGGAGGCGCCTGCCTGCCTTGCAGATGAAGCATTTACAGTGCAATGCATTCTGACGTTTCTCTCGCTCACACAGCTGTTGAGGTTGAGGAGGGAAGTTTACGCAGATCTGCATGATATTACTTACAATTCAAAAGCGCGCGCCGAGAACACCATGTATCCCGATTTGGAACGACTTGGAGAGGGGGTGTCCATGCCTCTCATGTGGTGTCGGAGAAAACACTTCGCGTAATTTACCCACGAATACACGTAGAGGAAGGCAGCTCTTCTGGAGTGGAGTGCTTTGTTTTGAAACACAGTACAGGCGACAGTGGGTATTCTCCAGTTTACAGTTACGAGCAGCCATCGAAACTTCTGCTTCAAGAATCTGTTTTCAATAAGGATTGCTTCTGAACAGAAAACTTAATGAACCATACAAGGCTGTAGATATCAAAGTTGAAATGTTACTGTAGGAAAGAAAGTGGAGACCCTGTGGCTGTGCGCATTCTGGTTTCTCCCAAAGAAAGCAAGTAGCCTATATGGTTACATGTACGTTGTGCTTTGTGAGAAGAGGACTTCAACCAACCGAAGATGGTACGGCTTATTCTTTGTGCTTTAATATTAGTTTTGGCTGACTTTAATTAAAAAATAACTGTAGGCCTATAGAACATTCGTTTATTCCCCACCGTTCAAATGCTGGAATGGCTCGTAGCTTTGTGTATTGGGATTCTGGTGGCCGTTATTTGGCAAGCTTCGAAATATTTTGGTACTCATGGCGAGCCAGACGCACTCCTCCAGGGGCTCGGAATTTCACGGCGGCAAACGAAGGAGAGGGTCTCGGAGAGGTGCGTCTCAGACCGGGGGGTCCCGGTGGACGGTGCTAATGCCCAAACACCGGACGGGGCTGGTGAGAATAAAGTCCCCGCTGTTGCGCTGATATGCAAACCCTCGGCGCTGGCCAACTATCTCCTCAAACACTGCAGGACTTTCAGCAATTTCACAGCGTGCACTGGATGGACTTGGCGGGCGAGTGCGTTTCTTCAGACCGTCTACGGCGCGTGCTGGCCGTACGAGAGCCCGGCGTATTTCGTGCGGGACTACCTGCAGTTGAGCGACGACGGTCTCGTGGCGCTGGACTGGGCAGTGTCGGTGGCCGGTGCGTCGTACCAGAAACGGAGGAGAACCTCGAGTAATTCCACGAGCCCCATCCTCCTCATCATACCCAACTCTTTTGGGAAAATCACTAGAAATGTGCTGAAGGTAGCCTAAAGAATGAATGATGAAATGTCATGCAATATATGCTCATAACCAGGCTTGTTAAAATAATAATATGCCATTTAGCAGACGCTTTTATCCAAAGCTACTTACAGTCATGTGTGCATATATTTTTACGTATGGGTGGTCCCGGGGATCGAACCCACTACCCTGGCGTTACAAGTGCCATGCTCTACCAATTGAGCTACAGAGGACCACCCATACGTCTTGCTTTCTCCAGAAAAGTTAAACAGCGATTAGTCTTATGGTCTTAATGGGGGCTACATTATGCTAATTGTCTTGCTCCTTTTTACCTCTGCTCTGACAACATAGCTGTTACTTAGAACATAGCTTACAATACTATGGATGTCTATTGGGGGCTGTTGTGGACATAGACATAATATTTATATCAGCTCTAGACATCAGCTCTACACTGTAAAGGGGTTCATGTCAATTTGACAGTAGCTTACAGGCAGCTTGGTGGCAAGGAAAATTCTGTATTTCATATAACATTACACCTACTGTAATAATACGGTATCAAAGCAAGTACTGTATAATGACATGCAGTGAAATACCATAAAATTGACTGTATTATACTGTAAAAAAGTAAAATGCTACTGTAATCTGAATGAATGGATGGGATGAATGAAATTCATTAAGGGGAGGGGTTTGTATTTCACAGTATTTTACTGTAATTATAAGGGATTAGTGCAAGCAGGTTGGCTGCTAGGTAAAGTGTTTCCATATTACAGCATATAAATGAATATTTGGTATTTTATATCACTTGCACTTCTAGAGGCCTTAACAAAGGATTCCATACAGGCAGCAACTACAGCGCAAAACAGACCAAAAGGACATAACAAAATACTCAACCATTTAAGGTTTAAGACTTGCTGCCATTCCAATCTGTCCCCAATACAAATTGATGGGGCACTATAACCAGAAAGGAGTTAAATTGTTACAGCATTCTCACTCATGGGTGCAACAAATATAGCCTCTTACAAGGCATGCCTCAAAATATGCTAATGTTTCAGAAACAATACCGTGCACCCACTAGTGGTCAAAAGGTTTTTGGTGCTCCTAAGATACGGTACGGTACTGTATTCTATGGGGTGGAATTACAGTACTATTTGAAATACAGCAATTCTTTCCCCGCCCACAACATTTTCCCACAATGCACCATAATTTACAGTATACTGTAGCAAAACATTTCAGAGTATTTTACTGTTGATAATTCCCCAAATTACTGTATAATTCACAGTTTTCCTTACAGTGTAGTTATTATGACTTATTTGGTAACATAACAAAGCCTGTCTCATGGTCATACAATTCACTGCTATACCATTAATTGTTGAAGGTTCAATCTATGAAGTTTTTTGTTGCAATTACATAAACAGTGAAAGTATGTCTAATTCAGCATTGCAGTTGTGTAAAAAAAGGAGGTTGGACAAGATATGAGAAAGTACCAGTGCCAATGCGTATTCCCATTGAGCATGGGGGGCATCTTGGTTCAAGTCAGTCTTGGCAAGCTGAGGAGGAGAGCAAGAAAGTGAACAACAAGAGCACAGTGCCATGCGTTAAAACCAGGGCTTCAATACAATGATTGTGAAGGCTTTGCTCTGCCTTGGCGGGCTGTGAGTGAAAGGATCACATCACTGCAGCTGCACTCCCAATAGCCTAGTCCCATATCATTTTGTGCTGTCTTGCCAACTCATACCATTATCAGCAAGACAGCACAAACTGATTTGGGACAAGACTACACTCCAATGCCCGTTAGCCTTATAATGAGTCACTGTGCCCTGCGGTCCAGGCAATGTTGCCACATTCAATTGACACTTTCTACCCCAAACAAATCAAAAACACCTGCCCAATCCACTATAAAGTAGCCCAATCGAGTGTAAAACCGTCCAATCTGGCTTGCATTGTTCCGAGCCTGATTTATGTACTCCGTTACTTTTGTGAGCAACAATAAGTCACAACCTTGACTGCCAGCACCCCCTACTAGCCTAGTCTGTCAACAATGGGAGCATTCATAGGCGCTGATTCACTATAAACAGCCTTTCAGCAATCAGCAGAAGAAAGGGAATTTAGACTAAGGTTTAAGTGAATGATTTTGTTTGTAGCCTAGTGAGATGAGGGAGGAAGAGATGGAAGGGGGAGAGGGGGAAATTGGAAGAATGAGAGATGCGAGAGGGAGATTTGGAGAAAGATCAGTTCTGTCAGATGTGACTTTACTATTTTCTGGGAGATGGAGAACTGAAGAAAAGGAATTTGGAGTAAAAGTTCAAGTGAATGATTTTTATGTCTGTGGTCTAGGGAGATGGGGGAAGAAAGAGAGAGGGGGATAGGTGGGAGATAGAGAGGGATATGGGAAGAAAAAGAGAGGGGGATAGGTGGGAGATCGAGAGGGATATGGGAAGAAAAAGAGAGGGGGATAGGTGGGAGATCGAGAGGGATATGGGTAGAAAGAGAGAGGGGGATGGGTGGGAGATAGTGAGGGATATGGGAAGAAAAAGAGAGGGGGATAGGTGGGAGATCGAGAGGGATATGGGTAGAAAGAGAGAGGGGGATGGGTGGGAGATAGTGAGGGATATGGGAAGAAAAAGAGAGGGGGATAGGTGGGAGATCGAGAGGGATATGGGAAGAAAAAGAGAGGGGGATAGGTGGGAGATCGAGAGGGATATGGGTAGAAAGAGAGAGGGGGATGGGTGGGAGATAGTGAGGGATACAGGAAGAAAGATAGAGGGGGATAGGTGGGAGATAGAGAGGGAAATGGGAAGAAAGATTGAACTAAAGGTGAATTCTGTCAGATCTGACTTTCCTTTTTCCTGGGAGACTGTGTGAGCATCACAGCGAGACAGAGGGTGATGGGATGAAAGGAAGAAAGAGAGAGCGAGAGGTAGAAAGAGAAAGAGAGAGTGAGTAAAGGCAAATTCTGTTAGATGCGTCATTTTTCTTTTGTCTTTCTGGGTCAGCTCCAATTGTGTGTGTTTGTGTGTGTGTTTGTGTGTGTGCATGAGTTAGGTAATGACAGCTTTTGTGGGTGGTGCTTAGGAGGTTCTGTCACTGAGGCATTGTGAGGTGACACCAATTAAGACTGCACCTTTCACAGCAGAGAAACGACCCACTGCACACAGCTTTGTGTGTGTGTGTGTGTGTGTGTGTGTGTGTGTGTGTGTGTGTGTGTGTGTGTGTGTGTGTGTGTGTGTGTGTGTGTGTGAAAGAGGGATTCTGAAAGAGAGAGAGAGAGAGAAAGAGAGAGAGAAGGAGAGGGAGAGAGAGAAAGCAGATAAGAAGAGACTGGGAGAGGAAGAGAGAGAGAGCGAGAGGATAACATGAGACAGTGAGAGGAGAGAGAGAGAGAGAGGATACGAAGAGCCAGGGAGAGGTAGAGCGAGATAAGGAGAGAGATGTATTTTGAGAGAGAGAAATCAGTGTGTGTTTGGGCATCATTCTTTCTAGATGAGACATTGTCATCCTTTTTCATAATGAGATTGTCTTTGTTTTACCCCCTCCCACATTTTATGTTAGTTGGGTGTATACTGTAGCTTATAGGCCTACATTACATCACAGCAAACTCACACACCATAGAAGTGTCTAGAAACAGATGGTGAATGGCAGGTGTTACAGCTTGCGTCCCAAATGGCACCCTATTCAATATGTAGTGCACTATATAGGGAATAGGGTGCCATTTGGGATGCATCCCTATTCTTGCTCGGTCTTCCTGGCCTGGCTATACAGTATGCAAAGTATGCAAAGTTTGTGGTGGATGATTTGTTATAGGACAGTTATAGGTTTTATGCCCTCTCCCTCCCTGACGGCCCTGAGTTGTAGCCAGCTTTGTTTCATTCCAAAAATGTTTTAACATTAACTTCCAAATGCAGATCTGAGACGACTGGGTTGGTATAAGCATTGAGCTTCAAATAGTTTTCACCATATTGCTTTCGCCTATCCAGTACTGTCAGATCTGTGAAGGAGATTAGAGAAGGACCGAGAGAAGGGAGGGAACAACATGGTGGAGTGAAATGGGTCCCATGACTCCTGTATGCTCTCTTTAAGGTCAGACATAGAGCCAAAGGTGAGCTCACGTCTGAGTGTGGATTTTACAGCCTGGTGTCCAGACACAGGACACCATACTGTCTACTACACATTTATTACACAATTAGTCAAGACAGTGAGTAAGACTGAACTATGGTAAATCGGAGCTAGACAAATGCCTAATTCATAAAACACACATTCTGTGCATTCTTCAAAATGAACCCTGTCTTCCAACATGGCAGAAGTCCAAGTTCTGTGTTAACTCACGCATTGTTGCACTGCTGTGTAAGTTGCTATAAGCATTTAATCAAAATAGTAATGCTGATGATGAACTTGACTGTGATACCCATCCAGTATGATGACTTTGCCTCTGCGTTTAAAAGTGATGATGTCATTTCTACTTCCTCTATTTCTACGGTTGGTCGAGTCAGAGACAAGTACATTTGGTCTTGTTCACAGAGCTGTGTTCAGGCTGAATGGTGGACCTTTAGTATTTGTGGGAGTTTGTGAGAGTTTGGCATCGTTCGTCTGAAGAATGTGGCAGTGTGTAAATGTGTGTGCAGACGCATGTGTAGGAGTGTGTGCAGGGGTGTGTACAGGAGTGTGTGTGGCAGAATGTACTGTAGGTGTTTGTGCGGGCGTGTGCATGCTTCTGAGTGACAGTGTGTAGGTGTGTGTCTGCGACTATACAGGCATGAGTTTGTGTGTGTGTGTGGGCGTGTGCATGATGCCCTGTTTCTCGGGTCTCTGTGACAAGAATTCCTCATTGGCTTGACACTGGCAGCACAGTCCAGAGGGAAAACAAATGGAGGACTGGAGCAAAGTTAACCTGCTTTATACCTTACCATCATGTTGGAAAACAGCTGTACTTCAATGACACAGAGAGAGAGAGAGAGAGAGAGAGAGAGAGAGAGAGAGAGAGAGAGAGAGAGAGAGAGAGAGAGAGGGAGAGAGAGAGAGAGAGAGAGAGAGAGAGAGAGAGAGAGAGAGAGAGAGAAGTGTGCTCTTGCAGGTTTTTCAGCTCTTTAAATATTTAATGCAGTAATCTGTTACACCTCCTCTTGGTCTCTCTAGTCTCTAATCATTGTCTTCTCATAGCTCTGTGAAGCTGTACATTCATACTCTGTGTGTGTGTTTGAAATGGCACCCTATTCCCTTTAAAGTGCATTACTTTTGATAGGGAATAGGATGCCATTCCAGATGCAGCTTGTGTTGGTGTTGTTACAGTTCATAGTCAGTTGAAACATTCAATGTTGTATTAGATTTATGTAGGGCTTTTCCAAAGACCTCACATACTCTGACCTCACAGTTCATAGTCAGTTGAAACATCATGCATTAATGGATTAATGTATGCAAATATTGCTTTTACATTGACCTAACACTATGTGAGCTCACACTGACCGCTGTGTCGCCATCTGTCTGTCCCTCTGCTACCTCCAGCTTTGATGATGTAACAGTTCATACTGTAGTGAGGTGAAACATGTAATGATGGATTGGACTTTACTGCTATGTCAGTTCAATTCAATAAAGGTCTTTATTGTCATGAATTACATTATGTTCTGTTTCCTGTCCTTCAGCTCTGTGAGGTGGCGTTGTCCCACGGCTACCTCCCCGTGGTGTTTAACCGGCGCAGCCACAACGCCACCCCCCTCAGCACCGTCAGGCTGCAGCAGTTTGGCGACCCAGGGGACCTACGCGAGGCCGTGCGTTACGTCCGTTACCGGCAGCCCGTGAGCCGGCTGTACGCGGTGAGTGAGAGCACGGGGTCCGGCCTCCTCCTCTCCTACTTAGGAGAGTGTGGTTCATCCAGCTACGTGACGGCCGCCGCCTGCCTCTCGCCAGTGTTCCGCTGCCAGAGCTGGTTCGAGAACGGACCCATCTGGCCTCTCCACTGGGCTCTGGTGACTTACCAGAGGATATGTCTCAGCAGGTAAGGGATGGAGGGAAGGGGGGATGGAGAGGGGAGGAGAGGAAGGAAGTGGGGATGGTGGGAGAGGGGAAGAGAGGAAGCGAGGGGGATGAAGAGAGAGGGTAGGAAGGAGTGGAAGCGAGGGGGGATGGAGGGAGAGGGGAGGAGAGGAAGGAAGGGGGGATGGTGGGGAGGGGAGAGAGGAAGGGAAGGGGGATGGTGGGAGAAGGGGAAGAGAGGAAGCGGAGGGGGATGAAGAGAGAGGGGAGGAGTGGAAAGGGCGGGGGGATGGAGGGAGAGGGGAGGAGAGGAAGAAAGTGAGGAGAGGGAGGGGGAGGGGAGGGGAGAGGGGAGGAGAGGGGAGAAGGGGAGGAGGAAGAGAGGGGGGAGGGAGGGAGGGGAGGGAGAGAGGGGAGGAGGGAGGGAGGGGGGGGATGGAGGGAGAGGGGAAGGGAGGGAGGGAGGGGGAAAGGAGGGAGGAGGGAGGGAGGAGGAGGGAGGGAGGGAGGGAGAGGAGGAGGGAGGGAGGAGAGGAAGAGAGAGGGAGGGTGGAGGCGAGGAGGAGGAGGAGGGAGAGGGGAGGAGGGAAGGAGAGGGAGGGGGGAGGAGAGGCGGAGGAAGGGAGGGGAGAGGAAGAAGGGAGGAGGGAGGGAGGGAGGAGGAGGGAGGGAGGGAGGGAGGGGGAGGGAGGGAGGGAGGGAGGGAGGGAGGGAGGGGGACAAACACACAGGGTAGGGAGAGGTTAGGGATGGAAAGGGAGGGATGGAGGGCGAGGGGAGGGTGGAGAGAGAGAGAGAGAAACCAGATTGAGAAGTGGAGAAGAAAGGGAATGATGTCACATACCCTGATATTATAGGATTTGATTAAAATACAATACCATAACCATGGCAACCGCTGCCCACTGTGGTATTGATCTAGCGGGGCATCGGGACCCTTGTGGTTTCACAATCAATGCTAACAAGGATGTTATAGAGCCATGCAGCTCTTCTAGATTGATTTACTGATTGTACTTGTTTGTGTGTGGGTGTTGTGTGTGTGTCTCTCTGTTTGTGTGTGTATGTGTTCATGAACATGTGTGTGTGTGCTTGTCTGGGTATATCTAGGTACAGGACAGTGCTGGGTGAGACAGTGCACACCGACGCCCTTTTCTCCAGCTGTTCCCTGCGTGGCCTGGAGGAGGTGCTGTTCTGCCAGCCGCCTGGCCCTAAAGGTGCCCCGGCCCTAGCAGCGGGCACCAGCAGCAGCAGTGGGGGAGCCTGGGAGGCCTACTGGGAACGCAATGAACCCCTCCGGGACGTAGACGAAGTCGCCATCCCTGTTCTGAGTGTCTGTGCTCAGGATGACCCTATCAGAGGAGACCCCCAGTCCACCCTACCCCTGGAACTCTTTGAGAGCAACCCCCACTTCTTCCTGTTGCTGACCACCAGAGGGGGACACTGTGGCTTCAACACCAAGGAAGGGAGCGCTTTCTCTGAGGGAGGGACCTTTGGAGGGACCCCTGGGACTAGCTGGAGCCACCGGACCCTGCTGGAGTTCTTCAGGGCCACCACAGACTTCATTGCAGCTGAGGAGAGGGCTAAGCAGGCTGCCAGACGGAGGGGCATGGGGGGTAGTAGCCAAGGCAAAGCCTTCAGACATCGTAGTGTTAGTACCTGTAAGAGGCTGCCCGCATGCTCACATAATATACATGCTATCTACAACTGGCAGAGGTCTTATACACGATGAGCTGGGGTGATGATGTTGGATGTTATGGATGATAAGGGATTTATATTATGGATGATAAGGGATTGTATCTGCAGCACAAGAGAGCTTTGCATTTAACGGCTTAATACTGATCTGTGTGCAGCAGCCACCTGGGTAATTGATGAAACATGGTTTCATCGACACACACACACACATGCTCAGAATTTAAGGATGAACACTCCAAAACAGTGTGTGTGTGTGTGTGTGTGTGTGTGTGTGTGTGTGTGTGTGTGTGTGTGTGTGTGTGTGTGTGTGTGTGTGTGTGTGTGTGTGTGTGCCTATGCCCGATGACTGTCCAAAAATGCCCCTCTGGTCACTGGACTGCCAGTATTTCTCTGATGAGCCAAACAGATTCAAGGGGGAACTATGCGTCATGATATCGTGATATTTTGCTGAACTGGGTGGAACCGGTTGGGTTTGTGGGTTTTCCCACATGTCGTAATTCAAACTCTGACTGGGGTTCGTTGAATGTAGCTGCAATCTGCAACTTTGAATTGGCACTGTTAGTGACATGATGATTTTCCTGTAGTTTTCTAAACAATGTTAAACTTGTGTTAAATGATGTGAATGCTTGCTAAGGAACGATGTAATAAAATGAAAAGAGGAGGGAACATGTATAATGGAAGAATTTCATTTAGGTTACATATTGTTATCTTTTGTTCAGACATAATTACAGTAACATTGTGTAACATTGTATGAATTAAATAGTCTTCATTTACTGAATGTGGAACTTTATGTAAAGTACTGTATGTGTCATACTTTGAACTTTGTGACTATGTACAGCAGAGTTCTGTTTGTCTGAGGATTCATCAAACGCATGGAGAGTTTTCCATTTACACGTCTCCTAAAATAGCTCTATGCCCAGAGCGATGCCACTGTCTTTGTGTGTGTGTGTATGTGTGTGGTGTGTATTCGTGTGTGCATACGTGTGTGTGCGTGTGTGTGTGCCCATGTGCCCGTGTGCTTGTGTGTCTGTGTGATCTGATTAGACGTCTCTCCACAGTGTGTCCCTACAGATCCTCATCCACTCAGACAGCTGCTACTGCTGGACCACTGGACCAACGCTACAGTTAACATCTAGCCCTAACCCTTTACAAAATACACTACCTTTCCTTGGTGGCATTATTCCAGGATTACTAAAGGCGTATCTACATAACTAATGTAATTGTACCTTATTGTACCAGAGCCATATGTGTAGTCTACAATCGCTCCACTTTTGTAAACCTCTGCATCACAGTATGCAAACAGGCATTATGGTTGTAAAGTAACAATGTGCACCTACTGTTGTAGAAATATTTGACTGAAAAGTAGTCAACTTAAAGATATTTCTCAAGAGACCGGAGCTTGTGAATCCAAGAATTAGACTTTATTGCATAACAAAGCCGAGCTTGCTCCATGGAACAACTGTCTCTCTTTTGCTTAGAGATCTCTTATATAACACACAAATGCACAGTCATGTATACATAGCTTACAAAGCTACTCCCCTTAAGATCACTGATTAACTTCTTTAACTGCCACGCCACTATTATCTTTCAAAGTCCAACAACACATGTTGTTTACTCCAAAAGACCATGGGTGCTTTTCTATATGGCCTCTTCCCCTTATCTCATTATATTGGTGACGTGGCTCAGACACTTTTAAAATAAAATGCATACATTCATTAAAGCATGTTTACACATTGTATCGACTATATTCCTTATTTAAACATGCATCTGGACTTATAAAACGTCAATCATGTTTACTATATTTTATCTTAGACATTTCCCAACATTTTCCTTAATGATACATAAAATATTACCATACTACATTGTAATGACACTGTAACTACCATGTAAATACAAGTATTACATATAATCACAGTCCCCAGACAACTTCAGCACAGAACATAGCCACTGTTATTTGTTACAACAGTCTTTCTGGTTCTACAAATGACTGAGCCGATGCAGCCTGCCTAGAATGTTCATTCTTTTGTTGTTCATTTTCATTTAGTGAAATGTCAACTAGAGCAGACAGACATTTGGGCGACAGAAACAATAACCACCAGGCCTCTCAGTCTCTCGGCCCAATTAAGTTGTTAACATTGGATTGGCCTTCCAACCCCAACGTCTGCGTCTGTCCAATTTCATTTGCAATGATTGATATTTCATTAGCGTACATAGCTTATAATAACCTAGTTGATCAAGATTTATTCATAGGTCAGTGAGAAAACCTGCTTTGAAATAGAGAGGATATTATAATGGAATTTGTTTGATGACTAAGTGAAGTAGGCTAGTGCTGCGTTGACACACTATAATATTTCACTAAGGTAAGGGGCGCCATCTTGTGGCTATTGGGTGCAAGTGACATTCCACAAGTTTTGAAAAGCCAAAGCCTCTGGTATAGATAGCATTAGTGTCTTCTCACAGCCACTAATACAGCATTAAATATAAGCTGTGTTATGATTAATGGATACTGGATTCAGAGCACCACAGCTTCAGATTAATCTATCTTGATTTTCACATGAGACTGCTTTAAGAAATGTTGCAAAATGCTGGCAGTCACTTTTTACACATTATAATGCACTCTTATGAAAACATACATTATTGTAATGATTCAAGGACTAACCATGATATAATTTACCAAAAAGAGTCTGAATAACAAACATAAAACAACAGGAACATTAATATAGCATACATTTCCACCCGTATGCACATGAGAACCTGTAATATTCTGTGAAGGGCATGTTGCCTAACAACCAGAGCAGAGCCATGTAAAGCCTTTATGGCTCTCCTAAGAACTGTATGCATGGCCAACATTTCTAATGATGCTCTTACCTTGGCATTCCTCTGATCTAGTACACATCACAATGACATCACAATGACGTCATGAAGACCACGTCCCACAAACTTCTGGTGTCCAGAAGGTGGCAGCACTGGCTGGGTTTCTGAATGTTTTTTTTTTTTTTTTTTTCTTTTTCTTTTTCTTATCTCTCTCTCTCTCTCTCTCTCTCTCTCTCTCTCTCTCTCTCTCTCTCTCTCTCTCTCTCTCTCTCTATCTCTCTCTCTCTCTCTTCTCTCTCTCTCTCTTTCTCTCTCTCTCTCTCTATCTCTGTCTCTCTCGCTCCTGCTCTCCCTCTCCCTCTGCCTAACAGACACAATGACCCAGCTATATCTCTGCTGCTTTTGGCTGGGAAACTGGAGCACAGCACATGGAGGCCAGATGTAGCCATGGTTTAAAAAGATATCTGCACAGTCACAAGAAAATCTAATTGTGCCAAAAATGCACATAATTATGTTTATTACAGTTTTTCTCCATTGGTTTGGCTCATTTCTTGAAACAGAAATTACATTCTCAAAACTACATGGACAAACCTCCAAACCACTTGGCAATTGTTCACAACAGAATTGAATTTCTCATTCATTTCATCAAATTGCAAATGTCTAAGTACATGTCTCAATGTCTCAGTACATCTTTGCAAATGATTAAGTACAGGTAGCCTACATTTAGCACAATTTCCAAGTGAATAGATCTTGTTGATCTAAACTGATTGTTGATTCTCAGTCTAATGGTTGTTCGTTCTAAAACGTGTCAGCGTCATTTCATTGTATAAGTCATCACATGCACAATAGTCTGTTCAATTGTCAAAATTAGTCAAGAACATAATACCATGAATACCATATATGAATCCCTTGGAACATTTGATAAATTTATTACAGCAATTGACAGTCAGGTGAAACTAGAACTTGACTAACGAAGGAGGAGTTTCACACATCTCAGATGACCAATCAAACAGTATGTTTAGTTACCTGACAGGTGCTGTCCATGACTGTGAATGCTGCCAAACATGTATGTAAAGAGCTTGACCATGCAGGACCAGTACAATTTCTGAACATGGAGGCACCTGGCCAAGTAAATGAACAAGGGCAACTGCCTGCTCGAGGAAGAGGAAGAAGAAGAGGAGGAGGAGGAGTAAGGGTGCGTGGTGGTGGAATAGGGGGAAGAGGCCGAGGAGCACGAAGACACCATGCTGTCCCGGATGAAATTCGGGCCACAATTATAGACCATGTCATCAACCATGGCCTCACAATGGCGGAGGCAGGTCGCCGAGTGCAGCCTAATGTGCCTCGCTCAACAGTCTCCTCCATCATCCAAACCTTTCGCAGGGAAAACAGGTATGTAGTCAGTCAATGATGGAATTATATGTTGTATAGGACAGGACACTGTGCATAGAGCAAGAAATATATTTATTTACATATTTACCTATTCATTTAGTGTGTGTGTGTGATAGGCCTACAGTAATATCTTACCTCAATGGGATGTTATGATACTAAAAATGACAAGAAAAACATTGGAGAAAATAAACTATGGAATAGTTTATTTTCTACAGTATTGATGATACAGTTTACAGTAGTATTCCAGTCACTGTGCAGTGATGCATTAGAATGGTGGTAAAGTTACTGTAAGTAAAACAACAATACAATTACATAGGTAACTCATTCTGTAAGGAATACATAAGGTATACATTACGAATGGAGTGTTGTCCTTTGACTTCTATATCTAGGATTGGACGACAACCTTGCACAGGTGGCAGAGGAAAACTTCTCAATGAACAACAAGAACAAGAGATCTGTAACATGGTGATGGCAAATAATGCCATCACATTGAGACAGATCCGCGCTGCAATCCTACAAGACAATGCCATATTCCAAAATGTCAACTCTATAAGCATCTCCACAATAGACCGGATATTGAAGAAGCATCAGATGACAATGAAGCAAATTTACAGGGTACCATTTGAGAGGAACTCTGATAGAGTGAAAGAGCTGCGGTACCAGTATGTACATGTAAGTCAGTTACTGGTTGTCCATCATTATAACATTTTTACAATTAAGCAGTGGTTCCCAAACTTTTTTGGCTTCAGTACCCACTTTACCTGATTTGTGTATCCAGGTAATCCAGGTATGGAAGTATTTGATTTATCTGACTTCAACATTTCGCCTAAA